TTGCGCATCTGAAAGGTATTGCGCATCTGAAAGGTATTGAATTATATTCTTGATACATAAATTATTCGCCTCCTTTTGAATGTATACAACATATGAAAATTATTATTATAATTTGATATCCAGAGAAGGTTCCGTGTTTTTGCATGCTGAGTATCTTCGATCTGTAACTCACTTTTCAACGTTGGTCGGTTCTGGGGATCATTTCCATTTGATAAACCACTCGCCTGCGGCTCGCGATTAACAAAATTTTATTCAATTTCAAAATTTTTTTCTCCAACATTTCAGGTGGGTTATTACGCCGGCAAAACGATCGAGCGTTGCTTTTACAAAACAATCTTCAATTTTCTGGCTGGTTAAAAGTGTATCGTTTATTGCATTAGTAAACCCATAGAGTGCTCGTCTCACATAATTCCTGATGACAACGAGTTCGGTAACTCTTACCTTTTGCGAAGTTTCTAGCGATCTCACTACTTTTGGAAAGGAAGCAAGTCATGACCCCAGCTAGTAAATGAGATTTTTGGAGTTTTCCTTCTTATAGTTTAGTGATATTGTCTTCACTATCAGAGGAAGCAACGAGAGCATAAAATAACGGCATCCCGGTCAAAATTCTTATTTTACTAGGTTTGTTCGCAATCATTCTGTGATGAAGACAAACAGAACCCATCTGAAGTCTTGGAAGAAAGCACACCTGGTATCAAGTCTGCCTCTTTGGTGAAAAATCCCTTGCCTCAGCTTCAGTCAGTGTAAGGAAGGATTAATGTCCTCTAGCTACATTTTGCTTTAAATTACCTTACTGTCATAAACGTTTACGATCCTCCTCTGTTATATTTCTATGAGCTGTGTTTAAATGATAATTATTCATTTTATTTTATACAGTCCCTACCCCACCCCCGATCTGCAATCTGTTGACGACGACTGATCCCGTTTCGGTCTACCACTGAAAACCACGTAATCCGCCTTAAAACACCAGGCTGTAGATAATGACTGATCCCCTAGCAACAAGTCTTGTAAAAAGGCCAGGGGAGGGAACCCTCATACAGGGTGGAGCATACAAGGGCCAGAAGGATTTTCGGTTTAGGCTAGTTTTTAGATCGATTTTTCGGTTTTTGAGCAAAAAAACTTCGGTTTTTCTGTTTTGGATACTATTGCGGTTTACGGATTTTCCGTTCTTTAGTACTCGGTTTTCGGTTATTTTTGTTAAAAACACTAATTTTCGGATTTAGTATCTGATGTGTTTTTGGGTTTTTCGATTGGGTTCCGGTTTCTCTTCGATCTCAGTGGCAGTTATGCGCTTCCAGTGATCTCGAATAGCCGCTAAACCTCTGTATGCTCCTCTTGTCACCACTGTGTCGGATCAATTAGGGTTTTGATACCTAGGATGAGTAAATTTATCTTTGTTGATGGCTTTCCATGCAATTTTCGGTTTTGATAGTTTTTTTTCTTTCTTTCTTTCTTGTTTCTTTTTTTTTTGCGGTTTCGCGGTTTCTGATAGACCCCAATGCCTTCATCATTCAAGGTAATTGGACTTTTTTTTTTTGCTTTTGCTCGCTAAGGTTATAAAGCGTCCAATGTCTTAAATATTTCTCTAGTTGATTTAAGTAAAAAGTGTATCAAAATAATTTGTTTCATGGTATTAATAGGAACCTGAACTGTTACCGACAGGCCAGATACTCTTCCCATCATAAAAGGAGAGCCCACGGTCAAAACGGTAAGGGTTGAGTTTGTAAGTATAGGCGACAATTTGCATCACTTTAAAATGACATGTTTGAAGAATGTATGTTCATCCAAAACTACATTTTTTGCCCTTGTAATTTTTGGTTTGTTTGGATCAAACAAGAAGTGCCACAATTCTTTCCTATTACGTTGACAAAACCATGCAAAATTATCGGTTTTGAGAATCAGAAAAAAAAAGAAAAAAAAAACGAATCACTACCATCTTTACTGAGGTCACGCCTGGGTAACACAAACCCATTGATCATTCCCCTCGTTAAAATAATCGTCGTCAGAAAACTTACATCGGCAAAGGGGCTCACTGCCTTCTTTTTATTTTCCTTACTATTTTTATTATAAAAGGAGAAAATTGCTAAAAAGAAACTTGTTTCCTCGTTAGAATTTATTTATGACATCCGACCTGGATACTACCAGGATCACTAATGACGGAATACTCGTGTCACATAAGAATTGATAAGGTGGTGAGTTTTCGAACTATAACGAACTAGAGGAAGAAGGTTTCTTCAAGAAAAAGGGTTTCGACACGGCTCATCCTAGCAGTACTGAGGACGGCTGTTATATATGAACGTAATCGGATGGCTTGACTTCCGTTAGAGTCTGTGGTTCATTGGTAGAGTGCCGGATTCCTGTTAGGTACTCAAAATGTTTTCTTCGGGTCCAAAACTCATGAGGAAGACACAACTTTTTCACATCATCGCGTAGCTCAAAACTTTTAGATCCCTTTCATCCTATCAAGTTAAATTCTGTTGTTGATGCAAAACAGCCATTAGTCGTCGATTCTTTACGAGCCAAACGTTTGAGTAGTCTTTTAGCATGACTCACTGTTTCTATTATTATAATCTTAGGAAAAACTTGGTTGTCCTTGTGGCCCTAGAAAAAAGTGCGCCCACGCGACGGGTGAAGGTAAATGTGAATGCAAAGCTGTCGGGAAGAAATGCGGGGAACTCTGCCACTGTAATGAAGAAATATGCAAAAACAGAGCGTCCTTAGGAGAAATTAAAGTAATGAGAGACTCTACTTCATACGAGCGAAAAGAGCCGATTAGACAAATGCCCGATTTACGCCTTTGCATTGGAAGGACGTACCATGCCCTTGAGGAATATGGTGGAAAAAATTGGTACCAAGCCCCTGTGGAATATGGTGGACGAAATTGGTACCAAACCCCTGAGAAATATATGGGTCGAAATCCCGGAGAGGAATTTAAGGTAGATAAACTCGTGGATAAACTTAGTGAGAACACTATAAAGTTTTCGTGAGACTCACTGCGTTTATTCTATTCGTAGGAAAAAGCTGGTTGCCCTTGTGGTCCAAGAAAAAAGTGCGCCCATGCGAAGGGGACAGGTAAATGTGAATGCAAAGCTGTTGGGAAGAAATGCGGGCAGTACTGTAACTGCGATGAAGAGATATGCAAAAACAGGGTGAGTGTATTGATACAATTTCCACGTCGCATGAACAAGAAGTTGATGCTTTGATATTCAATGCGGGCTCTTAAGGAGATGAACAAAGGAAATCATTACTTGATTGCGAACACTTTGAGTTATCATGGGCTAATGATTTTGAAAACGTTTGTTCTGATTGCTCGCTAGGATTACTTTACTTTTTATTCTTCGACAATCAATGGAAAGTGCTCTAGAAGCCCATTTCCAGATTATCTTTGGCCTTTTTATTCAAAGCATGTCCGGGTGCTCTATCCTCTCATATGGTAATTAATTTGTTAATCACAGACATGCAATTTAACTCATTTTGATAAGAATGGCTGTACATTAGACCTCGTTTTGAAAAAGAGACCAATGGTGATTCGAAAATGGCCTATTCCGATAAACCAAACAAGGAAGCTACGCGAAAAAGCAATGCCTTTTCAGGCCAGCGGTGTAGCCCCCTGATTTCATTCAATTGTTGATTTAAGGTGGCTCGTACCGGTTTTCATCTTTTTGATGGTTTGTAACTTTGAAAGAATACAACAGAAAGACTGACCAAGGCCAGTTGAACACTTTTACGGGGTTGAATTACATAATCATTGGTTATCCAAAACTAAGTGTCATTTCGTCACTAGCAGTTTAGTACCGTGTAATAAAATGTACATTATAAGCTAAAAGATACGTACAGTTGTCATACAAATTAAATACAACTAAATTATTAGAAAGTTAAACAAGACGTAATCAAATTTAGGCAGAGCAGACGGAACGTAGAGAGGAGAGAATTGTGACACACCGATGTGAGTGAAGTACTACAGTTATAATATTCGATAATCATTGGTCTTCAATTTCAATATTAGTGAATAGGCGTCAACATAAGTCCTAATTCTCAAGTACAGTCAAAAGCAACTTATGAATTTTCCTTTGAAATGCTCTTTTCGTGAGCTTACGCAACTCAGGGTTTAGACAGTTCCATAACCTCGTGCCAAACGCAGAGAAAGACTTAAATTTCTCATGCAATCTAGATTTCTGTACATAAAAGTTTTCTGCGGAAGAGAAACGCGTATTATATGTATGGACGTCAAATGAATGAATAAAAGGTTAACGAATATTCCTTGGTGTAGAGCTAGTAGAAATATCATGCATTATGGCGGAAACGGTTTCAAAATAGAGCTTCTTAATAGGTAGGATACTCGAAGTAATAAAAAGAGGCATTTTGCTGGAAAATAAAATCAAACGGAAACCACGCTTTTTTAAGGTTAGAATCTTTTTGACATCACTCTGAGCTGCTTGACCCCAAGCAGCTATACCATAGAGCATGTATAGAAAAATCAGCGAAAGGTAAATTTGAAGAAGGGTATTTAAAGGTACATGATGTCTAAGCCTAGCAATTATGCCGACTATTTTACTAATCTTCGAAGCAATATGATCAATATGAGGCCTCCAGGTTAATTTCTTGTCAATAAGTACACCCAAAAACTTTACATTATCTTTGCATCCAAGAAGTGTGAATCCATTGTTGTTATTATCCGGATTTCTGATGCATAGGAGATGATTAATTCTTTTTTGTGCTGACCTAAAAACGAGAAAATTTGATTTCTTCGCGTAATGGTTAGTTTATTAGAATTAAGC